AGTACTGTGCTTTAACCCGCTGCTCCAGGGAGGGCCCATTTTCCACTTTTAAAAATGATCGATAAGTAATCTTATCATTGCCAGTATCCTCTCTTATTTCCTTAGAATTCTCTATTTAAAATGGCTTTTCTGAGTCAAATCCTGTTAGTGTAAGTCCTGATAGACACTGCTCCCCAGAAGGACTGCCCCTTCACATTTGATAAGCTGCAGAAGATCTGCTGTGCTTCTGCAAAGTTTATCTTCAAGATTCTGTCTTTATATAAATAGAAAGAGCTGCTGAGTAGGGGAACTGACCTGTACTTACCTGGCCCTCTGTGTCCAGCAGCAGCAGCAGCATGTGCTAAGAGCAGACCGTCCCATAGTGGAGTTCCATCCTTAGCAATAGTCACTCGTGTTTTTCCAGCTTTGTTCTGTCCCTTGTGTTCACTACTATAATTATATAATTCTCTCAAACATTGCATAAATAAAAGTGAGGACTAAAGAAGGTCCAATGAAAATAAGGTAGGGGATGAAGTTTAATGTGAACTGATGGAATGAGTACTTCTAAAAGAAAGTTCTTATTTCTGTGGAAATTGAGGGAAATAGGAAAGGTGAGTCACTAAAAATGATGGTGAATGAGGTTTAGACAAGGACCATGTATAGCCACTCCCAACCATGGGAGTGATTGTGGCTAATTCGATGCCCAGGTTGCTTCACAAGTGTTCTAACACTTGACTTCGCATTTTGCTTCTAAAAGAACCTGAGTTGGTCTAGTGAAGTGCATGACGGGTGCGTGTAGTTTCCGTGGAATGCTAATCGTAGACCCAAGAAAAGACCAGTGGATGAATGTTCACCCGTATGTGTTAAAATATTAAAGTAGATGTTTCTTTTATTAAAAATTTCCCCCAAAATGTCAGTTAAGATAGACTCAGCTAGAGAAACAGCAATCCAGAATTACAGAGGCTTAAACAATTTAATTCTTTCTTGGTAAAAGTCTGAAGGTTCACATTCTGAGCCAGTCTGGCAGCTCTGCTCCACAAAGCCCCAAGGTGTTAATGTTCCTTCTGCTTATCTTCCATTCCTTCTAGTATGTGGCTCTTGCCCTCACATTCTAAGTTGAATCCAAGAGCTTTAGTAAAATGCTCCTGGGCACAGGCAGCCAGGTAAAAGTTTCCTGTCCCTATGCTCTAACGCCTGCCAAGTGTCAGGGGGCAGCAAGCGTGTCTCCTGAAAGGAAAGTTCCTGGGAGCTGCCCTGTGACATTTTTTATTACTGTCCAGGAAGTATGATAATCATCTTGAAGACTAGAAGGCCCCTGAGCAATGTGGACTTTATCTTGAATGAGCATTTGTCTTCCTAAGAGTCAAGGTTCACTATCATAGAAGCAAACAGAAGATGTTGAGAAAGAGCCAACTATTCAACTTTAAGGATAACTGAATAACTGCTGGCCACTGTAACGGAACAGCTCCCTGTGGGTAGCACTTAGGTGAGCAGACCCCCACCTGCTGTCTTGGGTGTCCATGCTGTCATTATTACCACTATGTCCCATAGTGGAGTGCTCTGCCTCTTTTCCTATTATACTCATCAGAACCCCAAGTTTGGAGTTTGGGTAAATCCTACTGTGCCTAGTTTTCATCTGCCTTAAAGGCTGAAACTTGGCCCACCATCAAGTTGAGTGGTGTCACTTAAAGATCAATCAGCTATAATTTCCTTGTCTATCAACTCTCATGCCTCCCTGGACAGTATTTGTCTGACATCTTTTCCTGTGTCCTCAACG